CCCGCTGACCGGTTTGCTCGCGGACCTAAATCCTTATGTCCGGGACGGGGGTTTGTTCGCGCAAAACGTTGATGTCGGAGTCGACACCAGATGTCACTCGGCTCGGCGCGATTCCGGTTTGAACTTCGGCTGGGGCGTGGCACGAGCGCGCGAGTCGCGAGCGAAAAATCAGTCGTCTTTAATCGGTGCTGACGTGAGCACGCGGTCCATTCTGTTAGGGAACTCGGAATAATTAGGCGCGGCCAGTAAATATACGGTCTATCATTGTGACGCGCATTCCTACTGGAGAGCTTCCCGGGACTTATTGTGTCTGACTCAAAACCTGCATAAGTGCATTCGGCAATATTAGATAGTGCGGCCTCTGATATTTTAGAATTAACTATTGCTTCGCGAAACGGTAGTGACCTTTGACCCTTTAAACTCCGTGTGCGTTTGTGCGGTAACCTTTATACCCAGCGATAGTTAGTGGCTTCTGTAAGTTAGTAAATCGTACGATAGAGTTAAGTGACTGTTATCGTGACGAAAGAAGAAAGTGACTGTGGACAACCTCGAAAGGCGCCCTCAAGTTGGAGCGGTGTTGAAGCTCGGGCTGCTGCCGACGGCCAAGGTCTAGGTTCAATAACCATCAGTCACACCCAGATACACACCACATCACCATTCTTTCTTTGCACTACACAACCACATGCGACCTGACCGACTCCGGAGGGACCAGTCGCCTTGGATAGGTAAGTAAGCTTCATCCAAATTCCTTCCGGTCGACTGGCCGTATTATAACGCTCCCCCATATATTTTAATGTAATTAGGAATTTCCACGTGGCCACATTGGGGCCCGACCTACGTCTGTTCGGGAAATCTTCAGCTCATGGGTCCCTGAAGATTGGATCCTTTAAGGGAGCAGCCGTAGGCCGTAACACTTAATAATTTATATTGAAGTCGGCTGTACAAAATTTTTTATTTTAAATTATTATTCAATAAAGATTACAAGACTACTTATTGAAAGTTATTTAAGCTTTACCTTAATATTAGAACTAATTAGTCAAACTTATATAAAATTAGAGTGAAAAATAAATCATGTTGGCCTCTCCCTAGAGACGCGTCTTATATATATGTATATTATACAATATGTAACAAAAACCCTGTGGTTCCCGTTAAGTACGTTATCAGGATCATTATTCAATCCCTATCCTAGAAAATTCTTTGAGTACACTCGAATATCCGTGTCAACATTTGATTATATCATGAGTAACATATCACCTAAAATCATTAAAAAAAATTGAAGACGCGCTAACGCCGAGCGATAAGACCGAACTGGTTTGATACCCCCGCACCCGCGCATTCGATCGCTTGCTGACTAGGCCCGTAATGTGGCCAAAACGCGCGGATAGGAACGTTTGAAAACTACGCGCGCTATCTCGCTCATGCCCGTCGCGCTAGGCGCCCGCTTTAGTCACTACACTATGGACGCAAACGGCGGTATTATATGTTTGATACTTCGCGCCCGTCGTCGCAACCGCGCTAGGCTTGCACTGTGGACAAGGGCTATATCGCAGAACGCGAACGCGGAACGCTTGAACGCGTGACCGCTTCCAGGCTGATAGAACCCTTCATATCCAGTCTCTTGCGTTGATCGTCACTTGATACGGTGTCAATTATTTTGTCTAAGCACGATCTATTTTCCATGACACTCTACCAGCCGATTGTCACTTTAATTTGCCAACACGAAGAATATAGTAAATTTAGTTCTCTGGTTCAAAAATACATGTCACAAATCACATAGATCAACCAATTTTAAATCCACTCCTAGACATAGATCACGCCAGGAATGCATCAACAGGCGTCTATTGATGAATTATATATAGTATCAATTGACAGATAGTTTGGTGAGCGTCGAGCCGATACTACTCGCACTGGTAAAGTTTTTCCCAATGAATAGTCTGTGAAATTTGGGCTCAGCGTATTTGGCTGAATTTTAAGTTTCCTTCTACAAAATTGGACCGATTTAATTTTGTTCCAAGAACGATACAGGAAATATTGTGGCTGAATGTCTAGATGTTTCTTTAATTTTTTATAATAGTTAGAATTGTTTGCTAGATGTATGATAACCGGACTGGGAAGTTTTAGTAAACTAGTAGGTTACTAGATCTTAAAATAATGAATTTGCGGAAAAAACAAAAATAGGAACATATGGCGAGTAAATGAATAAAAATAATTTCCCATGGCATAACAAGACACTTAGAAGCGCAAAGTGTGAGTCCAATTGTACAACATACATAAACACTCACGCCTTTCACCCTAGGCGTAGGCAGAGACTATGGACTTCCATATGACACGATCCTGATACACCTCTCTCGCCTCCTCCACATCCATATACCTACGCATACACGCTCGTCGGTTAAGAGTATTCTTAATTTGGCTCATTTTCAATATATCGCCAATTTGGTCGATAAACTTTCGCCTAGGGCGTCCTTTCCCGACTCTGCCGGTGCCCTGCAATGGAAATTGTATGTATGCGTTTAAATTTTTTAAAGTTGTTTAATACCGTTGTAGTTGAGGTACCTTAATTGTTTGTTTAAAATTGCAAGTTTCTAGGATGGTATCAGCAAGTTTCACTATAACCCATCATAAGTCACCCATCACAGAACACAGTTTCCCCTCATAGATTTCTACAAAGTATGGTCCTCATTTCCTGTTCCATCAAGTCTTCCTCCATATAGTGGGGGGTCGCCAAACATTGCGCCGGCTAGTAAGAGGCTGTAATTCGAATCTCAGGTCGGGTGGAAATCGTTATTGTTTTTTTTCCATAGAATGTTATAATACATTATAGTATTCTAAAGCTTTTTCTGTTAAGAAATTCTCAGAAGTAGTTCGGAGTCAAGTAGTTGGTGTTTTTCCACCTCCGTGTCTCGGTATGCACGTAAAGCCTAAGGTTCGTTAACTTAGTACTTAGGTGTGACAATGCATGTATTGTGGTACCTACATGCATTGTCACACCTGACTATATTATAGGAGCATAGTATTGGCGTGTAGTGGCGGCGTTAGAAAATCCACTACCCCATATCATCCCGTGGGTGTCGTAAGTGGTGACAAAGGTAAACTGCAAAAGCATCGTCCTTATCACAACTCAACAATAATAAAAAAAATAATTTGGAAAACCCAAAAGTGCACGCCTCATGAGCGTTTCATTTAATATTGATGAAAACAATCAAAATAGTGACGATAATTTTTACAAGAAAAAAAAAAACGGAGAATATGATCGACTTTCATTAATAACTTTTAAACGGCGTTGAGTTCAATAACAAAAATCTTAAAATATAGTGATGGAATCTTATTTAATACTATATATCTCAATTTATTGCTTACATTTCTATCAAGCGAGAAGACTCACCGACGCACAGACAATTTTTTCAATTACATTTTTTGTTATGTAATCTGAAGTGAATCAATTAGTAAATAAACTAATCTTATTATTCAATGTCTGTAGTTATTGTACCTTTATATACCTTTTACCTTATAATAATATGGTTTTAATGTCTAGCTAAAAGTATAAGAACGATTTTATGTAGCGAAATTGAGGTATGGCCACATATGACATAATGAGAACTCCCACACGTTGTGCCGCACTCTAAAGCCGCGTATCCACCAAAAATGTTGACAACAGTTATGTTTCCAACTGTTTCCAACAAGCGTCTCCACCGAGGGAACAAATGTTGGCAACAAGCGTATTCCTTTGATGTTGCCGCCGAAAATGGAAACAAGTTTTGTTGGCAACTATTGTGTTGGCAACAAAACTTTGGTGGAGGCGCGGCTTAAGCGTAGTAAATATGGCAATCTACGGGGGAGGCCTCAGTTAAGAAGTGATCTTTTGTTGAGCTGTAATGAATTAAATAATGTGATTGGCTGCAGTAGCCACTATTTTGAGGGAGACGACTATTGACTCGTTACAGTGTAATATAACATTGGTGTAACGGTTACACCAATGTTATATTAAACATAGCGCCTGTAAGTGAAATAATAGCAATTACATACTTCAATGCGCGTTTAATTTTGTGCCGTTGAATTTAATGTATTTTTAATGATTCTTCTAAAGTCGGGCCTTTAATTTTTCGATATATTGTTCATTTGTTTCATTGTGGAAATTATTCAATTTCTTTTAGTTTTTGAAGCTTTTAGTTTTTGTCGGTTTTTACTTTATAATAAAAGTTTAATTATTTTGCCTTTTTGAGTGTTTTATGGATTATGGAATATCACAAGTTCAATGCAACAAATGGCAACAAATAGAATGTTGTCTATTAAATAAGTTTCATTAAAATCACATACTCTATGGCATTTTTTGTTTAAATTTATATGGGACCGTCCTCAAGTAAAAAATATTTAATAAAAAATAGAATTATTTAAACTACTACTAGCCACTTTGGAGAATCTCTGAATATGCATAAAAACAGCGTCACACCTTCTTGTTTTTTGCAACTCGGTTAAAAATAAATCTGTTTATTGTTTATGTGGACTAGATTGCATTATACGCACTTTGGAAGACAATTTGGGACATTGTAGATAAATATTGAACTAACTTATAAATATAAATTCACTTCATCCATTATCCCCTAATTATACTTATTCATAATTCAGTCACTAGCCAACAAAAAAGACAAATTATTTTTCGATGTTAACAGAAAATGGAAACAGGTGATTTTGTAAATGATAGCTTCTTTAATAACTGTCTAATTAGTGTAAAAGTAATTCCCAGTTAGTATTGATATATTGTGTAGATATTGAATACAGTTTATAAAATAAACACAAACTACATAAAAATTTCATGGAAGATAAATATATTTGTCACATTATATAAATATCATGACTTTACTTAATTTTTAGTAAAATTACATTTGATATAAGTCATCTTGGTTTTGTTTAGCAGAATTAATGTAAAATTAAATAAGTAAAACAGTAAACAATTTGGATTTAATTGCATATTTATTTACATTGTCAAGTTTTTTTTTAAATCATAATTCATCATGATACTTATCACTCACTACACCCTCCTTTGCTAAAGCTGAATACTTAGCGATAAAGTTGTCCCAAAACTTAGCTCGTTCACCTAAAGGGTTTACCCGCATTTGAAGTTTCTTTGTGATGTGAAGATAGTTAATATTGTCATTATTTTTCCTAACTGGCTGCCAAATAAAATCCTTTAATATTTCATCATTGTTGTCAGGTGTAGGATCCCTTAATATATTAAAAAAATAATTAATAAATCGTATTGCGATAAAATATTAAAAAAAAAAAAAACAACATTGAGCTCTATATTAGTGCAATCAGTGCAGTGGCAAAATCAGATTTATCCGTTAATTTTTGGTTAATAATCAAAGGTTATTTCGGAGATATTCAATTTTTAATCATAAACTTTTGTTTCTATGCACGTATATTAGAGACACGTATGTGTATTATGTGTCATGCTCTTAAAGTTTCACTATTACTTAAAGTAGCGTTAAAATTAAAATCCGTTAGTTTCAACGTTAGATAAATACAGCACATTTCATAAGCTTACTAATAAAAAATCTATAATGGATGTACATATATGCCAACTTAACTTATATGACATTAGCATTATGTACATATTCATAATTCGTATACTATAATAACTTATAACAATACATACCTATACTTTGCAAAATTTGTCCATAAGCGTACCATCTTCTTCAAAACTTTAATTTCTGGCTGTTCACTAAGCAGCTTAAGTAGTTGTTTGTAAGTTTTTTGAATACGGGAGCATAGATGCAAATAACATAATTCATCGGTTATTGTTGCCCCCCAATGTTCCATTGAACTTCTGGCATATCGGGACATATATTCACTGTTTTCATTTAATAGTCCTCTAAAATCAAACATGTAGTAATATATATCAGACTTAAGCTCCTTACCTAACTTCCTTGCTGCGTGATTTAAAGCATAATTCTGCAGTACATCTCCAATATATACTGCGTATTCAAGAATATTAGCGTAGTGTAGGTAACCATCTTCTAAATAGAAATTCTGTATGTCTCTCACCACGTTCTCGTACACTGAGCTGTTTTTGTCAAAGCGAAAACCCGATCTTCTAGGAACATGCACAAAGAAGTCTTGTGCTAAATCTGTTAACAATCGTGGTTCAAAAATAAAATGTGATATTAAATCTAGGCCTTCTCTAGAATTCATTCCTATTATAATAGGAACATCACTAACAACCATTTCGTTATCCGGTAAGAATTTTAAGATGGCATCGGGGTTATTTTTTTCAACCACCGGACCAAACGGGTACACGGCCATTTGAGTTAATTCAAAGTTATTAGTATCCACAACTTCGCCCTCTTTTGTTATCAAAATATTTGCATCGATTTTTTGAAGCTCCTCTAGTAAAGTATTACTGTTAGTAGTATTTATACCAACTAGTTCGCCTAATCTAAAAGCTGCTTCTCGAGGCTCTTTATAAAATAAAGTCGGTTCCATTGAAGTTCCGCTTTGCAAAATAACTGCACTAAATAGATTTTTTGCTTTATGTGAATATAGAAGTATGTCGGCTAATACAGCTCCACCTCGATTACCCATTAAAGTTACGCGATTTGGGTCACCACCAAAGTGTTTGATATTATCCTTGACCCATTGTAATCCTAAAATAAAATCGCGTAAGCCGTTATTGCCTGGAATATTCTCGTCTTCCGTAGTTAAATACCCAAATAATCCAAGACGATGATTGATCGTTACAACTATGACGTCTTCTTCCATGAAAAAATCTGGAGAATATGTTCTTGTTCCATTAAAACCAGATCTGAAACCATCATTGTAATCAAACACTATAACTGGCAATGACCGTTTGACGTCAGATGTAAATACGCTGAGGTAAAGGCAATCTTCCGATCCCGATATGCCAAAAGATTCACCGTTACGTGTTCGAGGACTATATTGAAAACACGTAGGTTTATTAACAAAAGCTTCATATGTCCCACTCCATCCTTGATGCTTCACAGGCGGCTGAAATTTCATATAAAAGTTTGTAATTTATATTTATACAAATAAATAAAATTGAAGTGTCTGTTTGTAATGTCAAAACAACAGCTTCTTACTATATACATATGAAATTATATACGGTACTTATAACAAAAACACAATTTTAAAAAATTTTGTCTGTCTGTCTGTCTGTTTGTTCCAGCTAATCTCCGAAACGGCTGGACCGATTTTGACGGGACTTTCACTGGTAGATAGCTGATGTTATAAGGAGTAACTTAGGCTACTTTGATTTTAGAAAAATAATTAGGGTTCCACACAAAAGAATTAAAACCCATGAATTGGATTTCATGGGTTTTAATTCTTAATAATAAATTACACGCGGGTGAAGTCGCGGGGAACAGCTAGTTAGTAATAAGTACATATTATGTTATTAAAGTTTTTAATTGTAATGAAATTTATTTTAAAAGTTACCTTAAACCTTAATTCACCAATAGGCGGAAGAGCGAATGGTAATCCTTTGAAGGAATAGTAGATTTGATTTCTTAAAATTGTCTTCTCTACTTTTCCATTTACCTCTCCTTGTTCAATTGTAACACTTATAATGTCATCACTACTAATTGATTGACCCAAAATAGTTATAAACGTGAAACATAAAAACCACTTCATTTTTGTATAACGTATATTTATAAAGTAATCATGTTATCAAGTGAGCATGTTGTATTGATTGGTGTGTTACCAGAAGATTACTATTAGCAGTAGTGATAAAGTAGGAGTTAACTCCGTACTTAGATTATCTATTTCATACTGATAAATTGCTTCAACAATTTTGTTATTTGAACACGTTTTATATTGTTATTTACAACTAGCTGGCCCTCGCGACTTCGCCTGCGTGGAATTTATTACGACTGACTATGATGAAAACCCTTGCAGTTTTAATTTTTTTGCGGGGAACTGTGATTATTTTTCTAAAATAAAAGTATTCTAAGTTACTCCTTATAACATCAACTCTCTGCCAGTGAAAGTCCCGTCAAAATCGGTCCAGCCGTTTTGGAGATTAGCTGGAACAAACAGATAGACAGACAGACAGAAAAATATTAAAAAATGTGTTATTGTTACTGTATACTGTATATATTTTCATATACATTTAGTAAAAAGCTGTTATTTTAACATTACAAACCGACACTTTATTTCTCTGGAAGTAATTTGAAGTAAAGACTAGAAATTAGTTGGAGGGTGACTCGAACTTTAGGCCTAGTCAGTTTGAATAGCCTATCATGTAGAGGATGTCACGAAGGTCATGGTTGAATAGGGGAAAAAGTTCTCATTATACTCCAAGGGGGTCAAAAAGGTCAAAAACGGTTTAAATAGCCTATCATATAGAGGATGTCATGGGGGTCATGGTTGAATAGGAGCAAAAAGTTCTCATTACACTCCTGGGGGGTCAAAATTAAAAATTCTTATTTCGGCTATAACTCCGCCTCCAGAGGTTCTTACACAGTCTTTACTTCCCGCATCCCACTTGATATATACATTATCATACATACGTATTATATTTATATATGCATGTATATATAAAGATTATTTCAAAAGGAAGTAACATACTTATAAGTCAATGGTTATTTATAAATTTAATGGAAATTTTGTCTAAATTTTTAAATGTCAAAAGCTACGTATATTTCACATATTTATTTTTTTATTTAGATGCAAATTTTGGCTTACAAATTTCAACAAAAAGATCAGTATAAATATATAAGACATTTATTGTAATAATTATTTTTGATTTCAGACATAATACTCAATTATAAAGGAAAGTCCTTCTACATCGTCTTTTCAATAAATCCAGGGAAGTATTGTGATAATATTCCATTTATAGAGCAAAATGCTTTTATTTAGGCCGTGGTTAGTGCTCGCTGTAAGTTTCACAGTACGCGAGCAACCCGGGTTCGATCCCCGCCGGCACCATGAAATTGTTAGTTGCATTTTTAAGTGCTGATTCACCACGTGTCACGTGACCTGCATGTCTGAGAAATAAGAAAAAAAAAATATTTGGAAGGCATGTAAAGTTCGCCTACACGCATTGGAGCAGCGCGGTGGACATTTTCTAGCCCTTAAACCTTCTCAGAAATGAAAGGAGGCCTGTGCCCAGCAGTGGGACGAATATAGGCTGTAACTTTAACATTTTTAACTTTTTTAGGCGCTAAATGATTGTGTTTCAGTAAAAGATGCGGGGTACAGCGCATTTCAAGTCAATATGAATCTGTGTAATATAAAGACTTGAGTGACATTTCAAAGACATTTCAAAATTTCAGCCTACTCAACTAGGATTTGGAACTAGGGGTGCCTATGAGGCGGCGGTAAATTCAGTGCGTACATTTTTATCAAACTCTGATGCAGATGTTCTTGTAAAGGTTGACCTAAGGAATGCTTTTAACTCTATCGATAGGGTAGCCCTGCTGACAGAAGTGGCTAACAATACCCCCGAAATTTATCATTACGTTTGGAAATGTTACAGTCAAAATACTAACTTGTTCTATGAAAACTATATTATCGATTCTACTGTCGGTGTTCAGCTGGATGACCCACTACGTCCAGCACTTTTTAGTATAGGAAATTAACCCATTAGTTAAAATTTAAAATCCAAGCTGAATGTCTCGTTCAATTACATTTCTCCATGAATAAAAACTGTCATTACGGGATCGCTATACCTGCTAGTTTTTTTTTTCTATAGAATAAGGGTGACAAACGTGCACACGGTCCACCTGATGGTAATTGGTTGCTGTGGCCCATAGATATCTACATCTATCTTCAATTAAGAGTCAAAATGCAGATGCTTTGTCACCCGTGACGACTATGATGGAATGCCTCGTTTCCAGTAAAAAGGGTCTCCGGTTCTCTACACTCACCATACGAAACACAGCAGCGTTAAGTTGCTATTTTACGCTGGTATTCCGTGAGAGCGTGGTCCTTCCCCGGTCGAGCCGACCCATTCGTGCTACAACTATAATATAGCTGCAGCATGGCTCTACCACGTAGAAAACGTAGGTGCAAGTTGTCTTATGTTTTTCGATAGTATTAAGCCTGTTTTAAAAATAAAATTTGATCAGTTTTTAAACCACGTTGATAAATTGTATATCTTAAACCCCCATATCGAGTACATCACTCACCTTCGGTTTGCCGACGATATAGTCCTTATGGCAGAATCGCTGGAGAACCTAAGCACCATGCTCAATGACATCAATAGTGTCTCCCAACGAATAGGTCTTAAGATGAACATGGACAAAACAAAGATCATGTTTAATGTCCATGTCACACCTATGCCGGTAGTTGTTGGGAGCACTAAGCTCGAAGTTGTTGACGAGTATGTTTACCTTGGACAAATAGTCCGACTAGGTAAGTCCAACTTCGACCGAAAGTTCAATCGACGGATTCAACTCGGCTGGGCAGCGTTCGGGAAACTACGACACTCAAAACCTTAAAACAAAATTGTACAACCAGTGCGTGTTGCCAGTGATGACTTACGGATCTGAGACGTGGTCCTTCACTGCTGGCTGTACGAGGAAGCTCAACGTCGCTCAGCGGGCTATGGAGAGGACTATGCACGGGTTTCTCTGCGTGATAAACTTAGAAATGAGTATATCCGCAGTAGAACCAAAGTAACCGACATATCCCAACGGATTAGTAAGCTGAAGTGGCAGTGGGCCGGCCATATAGCTCAAAGAACCGACAACCGATGGGGAAGAAAGGTTCTTGAGTGGCAGCCTCGTACCGGTAGGCGAAGTGTAGGGCGACCCCCCACGAGATGGAGTGACGAACTGGTAAGACATGCAGGAAGTCGATGGATCCAGGTGGTTCAGGACCGTGCTTTGTGGCATTCCTTGGGGGAGGTCTATGTTCAGCAGTGGATTTATGAAAGGCTGTAATGATGATGATGATGATTATGAAACCCCCATATTGCTCTTACTATTTTAAAATTTTTACTACTTGTACCTAGATTTATATACTCCGCTCAAGTCCAGTCTGGAAATGTTTGGATATTTTAAAAGATATTGATAATAATCTTAAAATAGTAATAGAAAAAATTCTAAATTTAACTTTAAATACAACAGCCTGGACTCAAGCTACTTTACCTATAAAATTTGGTGGTATTGGTGTGAGAAATCTTTCTAGCGTTGCAATGCCTGCTTTCCTTGGTTCCGTGCATAGTGTCAGTGACTTATGTAATATAATTTTAAATAATAAAGTAGACCTGTGCTTTGCTACGGAGGCAGGGCAGATATGGCGAACGATTTTTCCCGACGAGAATGTTCCACTGGAAGTTAACCAAAAAAAAGTTTGATATTCCGTAGGTACGGAACGTGCAGAAATATTCATTTCATAATTTCCATAGTAACCAAGATCTCTTTCCAAGAGATCCTTCTAGCTGCTTCGACTAAGTAATCTAGTCACTGGTTACATGCTTTACCATCAAGTAATCTCGGTACATTACTTGATGGGGAAATCATCGCCGTAGGAATCCGACTAGGAGCGACGATTTGTCAACTCCATCAGTGCTCCTGTGGTAGCAGCGTCGACAAGTTTGGGCTCCATAGACTTTCATGTAAGAAAAGTACTGGTAGGTTTTCACGGCACGGTTCTTTCAACGATGTTATCCGAAGGGCTCTTGTCTCTATAAATGTTCCCTCGGTTTTACCTTGTGGAATATTTAGAGACGATGGCAGGAGACCCGACGGTATCACATTGGTCCCTTGGAAGAGAAGTAAAGCCTTAGTGTGGGATGCTACTTGTGTAAATATTTTGGCGGCCTCACATCTCAGGGTATCTATATTAGAGCTGGGGTGGCATCAGAGGCAGCTGAACTGATTAAGTGGCGAAAATATGAGTCTCTGAGAGATCGGTCCGTGGGGTCCACGTGCGGTAAAATTCCTAAAGGAACTCTATCCGCAACTGGTCATTGCTGCTGGTGATAAGAGGGCTGGTTCATTTCTCGTTCAAAGGCTAGGTAAAGCCATTCAACGAGGAAACGCAGCGAACGCTCTTGACACGTTACTACTGGGAGTAGGACTGTATGATAATTAAGTAGTTATTTTTTTATTATAGTTTTTTACATTGTATGTAATAAAAAAATTAAATGGTCATGTTTGTGGATCAGTAAGAATTATTAAAAATATAAATCTTTTTATCTGATTCGACATATTTTATTTTCTTTTCGACAGACTTTTTATCTGAGTCAGTTCCGACGCGTGACTAGAGTTTGCTACTGAAAAACGATTGTCTTAAAATATATACCACTCTGTATACGAGTATATATAAATATCAACAGATCTCCACAAATTGACTTTTATTATTGGAATAAATACTATAGTCAAATGATAAAAACAACGGTCACGTTGTTATGCGCAAGTAAGTTGCGCAGAGGGAAACCATAACGTCTTCACTTTATGTTAACGTTTGATTTTACTACCCGTCTATTTTTCATACACGCGGTATGAAAAATAGACGGGTAGTAGTTACATGAAACGATTATTAAGAAGTGAATTCCAAAAAGCTACACATCAATTTGAATTTAACGTTTAGCACTGTGATTTTCGTATTTGTCATCCTAAAAGTAAAACAAACATTCCGCAGTTTTCTTTTGCATAGTTATTTATAGGAACATTATGCTTAATTTCATCATAAAATCATCATAGCATAAACTGGGCTTCATAAGAGACGATTCGCCTGCTAAAGTTAATTATACTAATAATAATTAAAGTTACTTATATAAAAATTGTTAGTATAATAATGTATGTGGATCACATATTAAAAAATACGAATTGAAAGATGCAACTTATGTAGAGTAACAATTAATCCCTTCCGCTCAATAAAAAGCAGTTATTTCGATATTACAAACACTTTAATTTTATTTATAGATATAAACAGGTTTGTTTCTTGAAATGAAAACTTATTTTGATGTCTATAAACATTTATTTAATATTTATAAAACATTTAAAACTCATCCCTTATAATATCTTGTATGATTCCATTGATAGCTTTCACGCTGTACGATGAAATAAATTCATCCCAGAACTTGACTACGTCCTCATGAATATTATCCCGCATTTTAAGTTCATCACTGATCACAAGACATTCTCTTTTATGTTTTGTCGCTGGCTTCCAGGTAAATTGCTCTCCAGTAGGGGTAGGGTTCCTAGAATTAAATCGATTATATAAACTTAGGTAACGATACGAGTATTTAAATCTTAACATATTTTCGATACTTCCTTATTCGACTTTACAAGAATTACTGAAATAACAATATGCCCCTTGTTGAAAGACTTTTGAAATATATTCTCAGAGTAGCACAAATTAATAGTTTTAGTAATAAATATATATTTAGAACTAGTCGTACTCAATTATTTAAAAGTTATGTTAAATTGTTAAAAATATCAAATATATAGTTATTCAATAAACTAAGCATCTAATGAGTATTAAAAATTATAAACTATAAATTAAAAACCTATATTTTAGGCGACGGGTTCTAAATTTATAACAGGTAGATTGTGTTGTTTTTCACTCACCCAGTTTTAGCAAAGTTAGCCCACAATCTGACCATGTTCTTTAAAACTTTAATTTCCTCTGAATCTTCTTCTTCCAATAATTTTTTGTATATTTTTCGGGGATTACATACGAATAAGTAGCATAATTCATCTGCGACAGTAGCACCCCATGTACCATCTATATTAATTGCATCTTGAAGAGATGCTTTTTTTCTCATGTTTAATTCGCCGCTATAATCGAAAACGTAATAGTAAACTGGGAAACTAGACATGTTGGTATATTTCCTTACTGCGTAATCAGTGTTGTAAAATGCAGTTATATCAGTTATATAAGATATATATTCTCCCGGTTTACTAATTTTTACATAACCTTCATCGAAATAAAATTCCTTGATCTTTTCGATAGCCTCGAAATAAACTTTATCGTTGATTTTGAAATGGTACTTTACACGAATTGGAAACATTAAAAGGAAATCTCTGTCTGCAAATGTGAGATATTGCGGCTTTTGTAGAAAACGTTCAGAAAATTCTATGCCTTCCCTTGAGTTGTAACCAACCATAATAGGTACATTTATATTAAAGTTGTTATCCTCAGGATATGATGTTATAATAGCATCGGGGTGTTTCGGTTCTATGCTTGGTCCAAAGGCAACAATACCTCTTTGTATTGCTCGAGCATCATCAGCGTGAATAGCTAAATGTTCTGATTCTGCTATAAGTTGTGCTGACCAATCTGCGAAACGTTTAATGAGATAGGAAGTTGTGGTTAATGTCTCCTCTAATGCTTCACCTAGAGCTTTTGCCTTTTTACGTGGATTCTCATCAATGTACTCTGGGTTCCATGAAGTTCCACTTTGTAATATTACAGCATGAAATAAGCCCTCTGATTTCTTTGTTTGGAGTAGTAAATCAGCTAAAGCACCACCACCTTGGCTACCCATTAACGTTACTCTTGACGGATCTCCACCAAAGAATTTAATATTTTCTTGTATCCATTTAAGAGCTAGTATAACATCTCGTAGACCATTATTACCTGGGAGTACTTCATCTTCAAATGATATAAAACCTAGCGCACCTAATCTGTGGTGAACAGTTATTAAAATTACTTCCTCTTTCATAAAGAAATCAGGACCGTAGTCCTTTGAACCATTAAATGATATTCGAAACTGTTCATTATATAGAAACACTATCGAAGGAAATCCTAAGTTTGTTCCCGAAACTTTTGGAGTATGCACACTAAGATATAAGCAATCCTCGTCACCGGTATAACCAATTCTTTTAGTATTTCGTACCGGTAAAAAATATTGTGGACAAGGCTTTCTTTCCTTTTTGGCTTCTAAAATATCGCTCCAACCTTCAGGTGGTTGTGGCGGCTGTAAAATAAAAACGATGTATAGCAATATTAAACCAAACTATTGTATAAGTAATGAGGAAATCCGCAGAAGAATCAGAGTAGCCGGTATAACAGATCGGATAAGTAAAAGTTAACCGATGGGAAAACAAAGTTCCCGAATGCCTCGTACCGATTAACAAAGTAAAGGGCACCCAAATAATGTGATAAGGAAAGTGTGTTATCAGCTGTTGGTATTCCTAGGGGTAGTCCTATGTTTAGTATTGACTTTGTGATGGGCTGTAATGCTGGTGATGATGAAGATTTACAAATAATATTAAACTATGTCTAAATAGTACACAAGAGTACCAATATACTCGTAGTAATAATATCATAGATCATTTAAGTTACTTGTTTGATTACTGAATGAAAATATTACCTGCAATCGTAATGCTCCAATAGGTGGTTTAGCATAAGGTATACCCAAAAACGAGTAATACTTCTCATTAGGAATAATTGAATCCACTTCTTTGCCAGCCACTTTTCCAAACTTGGTGTCTACTACAATATTAGCATTGATGATAGTAATGCAACAAAGTATTAGAAAACACATTAACAAATTCATATTGACTGTCGACTGTCTATTAAATAAAACTATTAAATCTATCTGTTTACGTTCATCATTATGTTGTAGCTAAACGACTGACGTGTCCTTATGATAAACATTAATAATAATCTAAGTGGGTTTCGCTTATATTTTTATCTCTCAGAATAAGATAATTTATAACTCTTACCGTTTTATACACATATCGCGATAACCAATTATTAAGAATGGGGATTACTAATAAAGCCAATAATACATTTATTTTATCAACTATATATTATACTAATATATAATTAAGTTATTTTATTATAAGTCGTCTTTGTAATATGTATCATAAGTTGACACTTCATTCAATAACTTTTGCCATTTATTTAAAAATTCTTCCCAAAACTGGAATCTCTCTTCAAACAGATTACATTTAATTTCCACGTTTTTGCTAATATGCAAGTATTGTTTAGTAACTAGATTGTAGCTTGGCCATTTGATATCCAATGGATTATTTATTTCAGGGGTTGGATTCCTGTAAAACAAAATTGTTATTAATCATTTATCCTTCTTATTTTAGCTGGGTTCTTTAATAGCAGTATTTCTAAGGAACTAACACAATTTTGGGGAAATATGAATACAATAATTGGTTGTTCCTAGATTTGAAACTTTTCAAACCTCTTTTTAAACATTCTTAAGGGAAATTTTGCTAAAACTTCCCTTAAGAATAAGATAAATTTTGCTAGTCGCCACATACAGTAAAACAGTTTGGTGATTGCTGCTCCAAAAGTATGGATATTTTTGCCGCTGGGCTGAGTATTACATTTTTCAGAGAACGATTGCCTGGCTGAGTGTTCGAATACTTAACTGCCGCATGGATGTTATCGGTTAGCGCGGTGATTTGCAATTTTAACGTTGGGTCGTAATTCATCAATTAAAACATGTATACCATTAAACATGTACCTATTTAATATTATTGTCAATGTTTGTAAGCAGCCATAGATTAGATGATTGTATTATTTATTACCTTGTATTATATGTGAGACTGTAACTTGAGGACAAACCTCACGGTTTTTGCAAGTTAAATAGATGTAACCCTTGTACTTATTAAAATGTTATAAATAAATGAAAAAAAAAAGTAAAATTTTAGCCGATGCAAATATTTATAAGATGTAAGTGTCATCATGTAGGTTTTGAAAGCTCTTAAATTATTCGAAATGTTGTTGTCATCATTGAAATTAATTAAGAAAATATCATCATCCTCATTTTACTTTTTTATTTACAATCATAATATTTAGCTGATTTAATTATAAGGAAACCCAATGGGGTAGATCAACTTTGTGTTACTATTACTACAAGGCGAAATAACTTTCTAAACTACTCTACTGAACTTTCAGTAAACTCTCTGAAACATTGATTTATATGAAATCATATTTTATATAATTTGAATACAATATAATTCGATAATTTTCTCATGTATATACAAAACATAGACACTTAATAAAGATAGAACATATTCTTTTCAGGTGCCAAAACACTTGCACGTGGTTTACGTGGTGTATCTTGCAAATTTACAAGCGTGGCGTTTGCGTTCGATAAAATAAAACTTTTATAAATTGGTAAATATGAGTAATAATATTAATGTGAAGGTGAAAAAATGTGCAATAACAACTCACCAACTCAACGCGGTCAGTATATAAAAGGAAATCTTTCAATTAATGTATTAATGCAGGGGATAAAGAAGATCTGATGAAAAGCACGTTTGTACGCGTTTGTGCATGTTGCATATTTTATGATGCGTACTCTAATATAATAAAGAAGTAATCTACAATACTAAAACCGTGTAAGTCTTTTTGATTAGCGTAGTTGTAAAAAAACTAACCCATATTTAGCAAAATTTGTCCATAGTTTCACCAATTTCCTTTGTAATGTTATTTCTTCAGACATGGATGTATTTAATTTTTTATAGTTATTTATTAGCCTTGGACATTTAAACAAATAACATAATTCATCTCCGCTTGCGGCTCCCCAAGTGCCATCTCCCACAGTAGAAAACTTCAAAATATTTTCTTTATTAGCATTTAATTCACTGTAGTAATCGAAGTGATAATAGAACACTGAGCTTGAAGATTTGTTTGAATACATTCTCACCATAGCATCAACAGGATATGATGTGAGAATGTCACCTATGTACGTAATATAATCAGAAATACTGCTAGTTCTAATTTTACCCCTCCTGAAATAAAACTTCTTAATATCTTCTATAGCGTTATAAAATGTTTCTTTCAATGGGTCAAATTTTAAATTAGATCGTATAGGTATTAAAAAATGAAAATCTTTTTCAAGATACACAAGATATCTCGGATCAAAAAGATATTGAAGTGATGGCTCTAAGCCCTCTCGAGAGTTTGATCCAATCATAAGAGGAATTGTTACAGTATTAAATATCTTTTCTGGATAGCCAGTCACTAGTCCATTTTGATTACCTTCGACAATTGGTCCAAAAGTTAAAAGAGGTTTTTGATTTTCTTTGTAATAATCGTCCGGAAGAGCATTCAATTCTTTTTCGAATATCTTTTCTGCCGGAATTTCGTTTAAATATTTTAATAGTTGATTACTATTAGAAGTACTTCTCTCTAATAACTCACTCAATTTGAAGGCCCTTTCTCTTATATTATTTTGCAAATATTGAGGACTCAGGGAAGTTCCACTTTGTAATATGGCTGCGTTAAATAATTTTTTTGCTTTTGTATGAATAAGTAAATCTATTGCTGCAGCACCTCCTTGAGATCCCATTAACGTTATTCTATTGGGGTCACCTCCAAAACGTTCAATATTATTTTTAATCCAGTGTAATCCCGCTACAATATCTTTTAATCCTGCGTTTCCGGGTAGAATATCGTCTTCAAATGACAGAAAGCCAAAAGTAGATAATCGATGGCTTATCGTGGCCAATACCACATCTTCTTCGATGAAAAAATCTGGACTATAATCTTTTGTTTTGTTATACGAGTATCTAAAGTTTTCATTATATAAGAAAACTACAACAGCTCTTTTATTATCATCTACAGCTGGGGTAAAAATATCGAGGTAGAGGCAATCTTCAACTCCATATTGACCTATTTGATTTTTTTTAACATTATTGTTAAACTGGATGCATGGGGGTTTCTCTTTAACTGCAGATAATACATTAGCCCAGGGGTTAATCGTTTGAGGTGGCTGCAAATAATTTAATATCGTACATTTAAGAGTCTCGTGAAACCAAATAAATACTGAAAACATATGTTATACCTAAGTATATGTGAAAAAAAAATTATGTTATGCAGATATACGAGTACTAACACATGTAGACTTAGATAAGCAGAAGAAAAGTCTAATGATGATATTATTATATTTAGTGAATATAATTTAATTGCAATATATGAAATATGACGGCTCAGTGGCGCAGTGGCTTAGCAATCAGTTGTTGCACTGGGGGCGCAGGTTCGAAATCCGCACGGAACAAGTATTTGTATGGCCTACAAATAATTGTTCCGGGTCTGGATGTTTGTCCTTGTGCAATTTATGTTTGTAAACTGCCTCCACGACACAGGAAAAAATCCTAGTGTGGGGGTAACGTTTTTAAAAAAAACAAAAAAAAAAACAAAAACAAAAAACAAATATATACTATAGTTACCAAAAATCTAAACTCATTTAAAGGCGGTGCTGCGAATGGAATACCCATATATCCATGGTATTCGGTGTTTTTTAATAATGTTTTCAGTGGTTTTCCGGATACTAATCCGTGTGTTGTAAGTACAGTCTTTTGATTTGCATGCACGATCACCAAGAAAGACAAATTCACCAAAAAAATCCAACAGATCCAAAAAAATATTTTAAAACACATTGTGCTCCGCACCAAAGTTTGTTTTAAATGCTGTCATTAAAATGGTTTTAACCTACGATAATATCTCTTGAAGATAACCAAATATCGCATTAATCTTTAGGCTGCAATAAAATTTAAAACATATCGACGTCCCCGATTAGAAAGTCGGTAAGCGTAAAAGTTTAATTATACAGGAAAAATCATTTACAGTTTTTGTAGTGTAACTCAGAATCGCATTGGAATAATAAAGTAATTGTTTTTTTACAGGGACAAACGAGCATCGGCTCACCTGATGGTAAGTGACTACCGCGGCCCATGAACAACTGCAACACCAAGGGCAATGCAGATGCGTTACCGGTATTTTAAAAAAGAGAAGGCTCCTTTCTTGAAGGTCCCCAAGTCGTATCGTTGTAGATGTTTCATTCATTTTTCATTATAGCCCTTCACAAGTTCACTGCTCAACATAGCCCTCCTCCCCCAAGGAATGCTACAAAGCACTGTCCTAAGCCACCTGCATCCATCGACTTCCTGCATGTCTTACCAGGTCATCACTCCATCTATTGGGGACTCGCCCTAAGCTTCACCTACTGGTATGAGGCTGCCACTTGAAAACCTTTTTCCCCATCGCTTGTCGGTTCTTCGAGCTATATGGCCAGCCCATTGCCACTTTAGCTTACTAATCCGTTAGGCTATGTCGGTCACTCTGGTTCTACTGCAGATATCCTCATTTCTAACTTTATCACGCAGAGAAACCCCGAGAAACTCTTCATAGCTCGCTAAACCACCTTGAGCGTTCTCATACGGCGAGCAGTGAGACCACGTCTAAGATCCATAAGTCATCGTTCGTTCGTAGTTTTTAGGTTTTGAGGTAAACCTGACCAGAAGATGTATCGTAATTTCCCAAACGCTGCTCAGCCGAGTTGAATCCGTCGATTGACCTCTCGGTCGAAGTTGGACTTATCTAGACAGACTATTTGTCCCAGGTCAACAACTTCGAGCTTAATGTTCCCAACAACTACCGGCATAAGTGTGACAAGGACGTTATACATAATCTTTGTTTTGTCCATGTTCATCTTAAGACCTATCCGTTAGGAGACATTATTGAGGTCATTGAGCATAGTGCTTAGGTACTCCAGCGATTTTGGCACAAGGACTACTCATATATCGTCGG